AATCGTGTGTAAAGAAAAATAATTAATTGTAATATATCTGTAAATAGACCAAGTAGATTTTAGTATATGATTGTTCATGAATAAACGTTTTTGTTTAAATATTGTGTAGGTTTTAATTCACCACGGAGAAACGTTACAATATTGATGTTTGTGTTAAACCATTTACAGTGTTGCCAGGGCTTCGTTCCCAAATGTGTAGCAGTTCCTCAAATGGCAGCTTAAAAAGGGGAAAATCAGGAAATGATAATATTTACAGAAATAAAATGTTTTATTTCGTAGAGGTACGAAATTTTCCAGGAGTCATAGCCGAGTCTAATTGGATTGACTGGTGATTCCGGTGTGGTCAACTGACAAGGTTGTCGGTGCCGTAAGTGTGTTTTTATCGCGTGGGGTTGTGGAGAACCCACGTTTGATGGCGAGATCCGAGACCGACCTAAAATTGAACTTGCAGAGTGTTTCACTAAGGAAGTTTCCCTCACCAGCGTGACACCGCCCTAGCCGCCACCACCAACCTCAAAGGGAAAATCTCAGATATCAGTTCATGCCTTATTTCATGTGTCATCAGCTCTTCTGTATTTTTTGTTAAATGAAAACTGTTCTAAAAACTCAGTTCTTTAAAAAAGGTTATGTACAGTGATTAAAAAATATGAGTGATTTAGCGCAATTTTTGTAAATCTTCGAAATTTGCAACCGGAAGAGATGACTCAGGGCCAAAAATGATGTCATTGCAGTCCCTTTGACCGAGAGTCCTAGGTTCGAGTCCCGACGGTGGCTGTATTTTCGACTAGCTTGTCAGCTAAGTCGGATTCAGCCGCTGTCTTGAGAATGCTAACGGCCGGCTGTTCTGATAGTTCCGGGAGTTTTCCGTGGTTTCTCCGATCAACACCAGGCGAATGCCGGAACAGTACCCTAACAAACGGGCCGTGGACCGCGCGATCTCACGTTCCTAGTCCTTGTCCTACGTCATTTCTTACACGCACTAACATGCACTACACTATCACATATTCCGGGACACCGGTCGGGAGGTTAGGGATGGTCCTGGCTGGGCGATGCCCCGCTGGTGGGAGGTACCTGTTTGGGGAAAACCCAGCTAGGCGACAGTGGGGCGGCGCCGGATATGCGCCATTTAGCGGGGAAGACCACCGTCACATCCCGAGCAAAAACGCACTACACTTAGGGGACTAATGACCCTAGTAGTGACGCGCCCGGAATCGCTAACAATCAATCGAAATTTGCAAATTCGATTTTTCCGCGCCTTATTTGCCAGAGTCTTTGCTGAAACATGAGATTTGCAATGAGCAAATAAGCGTCACACCGCCACTCTGCAGTGTGAAACTGTGAGAATTGTCATTATTGGGATTTGTTTATGGCTGCATGAAATGCAGTTTTAATTGTCGAATTTGATATCATCAAAAGATTGATTTCGCTTCTTATGTTCGGCGATTTGTAATAAGTTTTATAAGTGACTGATGACTGTGATATTAACAGAAATTGCGGTACCATATTATATTATTTTACTTGGTGCGAGCAAATACGTGTTCTTGTTGTAGCACCACTAGTTTCAATTTATCTACTTTTGTTTTAGTTAAATTACGAGTTAACATTTCCTTAACGTTTCTGTTTCCTATTGTAGATCGAAAATATTATTTTAAGATTATTAAAGAACATTAAAACCTCGTCCTAAATAGCTATTTTCTTTGAAAAATTTGGAGGTGTTTTTAAAAAACCGATGTTCAAGCGATACTGTTAATTCAAAATTTGAAGCTCTTTCTCAAAAAATTTTTTGAGATTTCAAAAACCTTCATTTAAAGTCATTTGACATTGATTAAAAAATACAGTAGTGTTTAAAAATTGTTGCAAATGTGCATATTAACGGCGTGAAAGATCATTGAAAAAATGTACATTTGTGCAATTTCTATAAAAAACAAAAAAAAAACCAAAATGAACTTTACGTCATATTAAAGAGTGGAATTAGCACTATCCGTTCGTAATGTTTAAAGTGAAATTTAGAGCAATTTTTGAGAAAATGGCGTTTGAGCGTTTCTGAAAATGCGGAGTTTTGAGCTAGTTTTCACCGAAAACGGTAGTTTTTGAGAAACTTTATATGACATTAACGCACATGCACTCGTAAATACAATAATGTGAACAAAATGCTGCTAATATAAATATTAGCGACATGAGAGACAAAAAGTTACATTTTTTAATTTTTGAAATAAAAGAATAGAGTAATGCGGAATTTGTCATCATATAGAGTACGTTTAGCACTATCCCTACCAAAAGTGTAAAGAAAACATTTGGGGCGTATTTTGAGAAAAAAACCTTGCTTTTGTAATTTTTGAAAATTGCACATATAAAATTGCAAAATTGCGCGAAACTACTAAAAGTTTCAAGAATATGTACATAACTTTTACAAAAGACCTCACTATGGAGAACAAATTTTATACCAAGGAAAAATCTCAATCTTTGATTTTGTAGTCGAAGGAAGACAAGAAAAAAAAAATTTATGAAATTATCGAAAATTCAGAGTTAACCGTGAAAATCGGACCTGCCACTTTTGTAAGTGTAAGTTACTCTATTCTTACAAGAAACTTAATGAAAAATATTAGAGCTGTTTTTAAGAAAATTTTGAAAATGTTTGGTAGGCTTCATGTAAATTTTGAAGAATGTTTTTCAAAATCTAATTGTTTCGATTGGAGCCAGATGGATGGGCGTTTCTTTAATTTGGAAAAAAATCCTACGCATGGTTTAGGCGCTTGTAGTGTTCAAACACCGAATGGACATTTTGAAGAAAAAACAACAAACAAACAAACACTTTTTCCGTATCAGGGGACCCCAAAATGTGAATTTCCATTGAAATATCGAAATCGATTTTCCGTAGCATTACCGAACATTCCCTATACTCCGTATATTACTCCGTATCGTTACGTATTATGTACTCGTACGTATCTACGTACGTAAAGTAAAAACATAAGGCCCTCTTTTATCTTGGCCCGCCCGCATTGCGGGCCTGTACGTTACGCCACTGCTGTAGCCATTTGTCTTACAGATTTTTATTTCTTGCGTCTATATCGATACAACGCGTCTCTTTACTCCTTACGGAGCGTTGAGCGCATTGGAATAATCCTCCGTTGCCCTCTTGGGGCCGCTGTCTTGTGAAGTCACGTCTGTCATAGTCAAGTCAGGGAATCCCCGACAGGTAGCGTCTTCACGCTCGCGTCTCGCCCTGCGTCCGGCAGATTTAATACGATTGGTATCGATTTTCAACTTGTTTCATAACAATTGTTTATTAAGTAAGAAATTTAACTTTTAGAAAAATGTAGTGAAAAAAGGAATTGGGGGGAAAAAGATGGTCATAACTATATGAAATATCAATTAAATTAAAGTGTAATATGAAAGAAATTTACATATATTTATTAGGTAACATCAAATTGCATGTACATAAAATAATAAATTATCTCTAACATATAAGTCAGTCACTTGCCAACTTTATTGGACAATTACGTTTGTTCCAGCATTCATTTTACAGCAGACATACCACTTAATGATGAAATTCTTGAAAAGTGGTTCATATGATATGAATGATGGAAAATTAATATTGTATTTCACATATATATGGCATGAATTATTGGTTTGTTCATTTATTGTGAGAAACCCTTCTAATTAGACATATATTCTAAGTAATATTGTTTGAAGGTATAATATTCTGTGTTAAGACACTCCTAAATGATCTTTATTCTCACATGACATGACTTGAAACTGCTCATAAACTACTTTCATTTGGGAATATCATCAAATTTATTGTATAAAATACATAAAAATGTAACATTAATACTTCTAAGAAGAATATTCATTATTTACATTGATTTTTAATGAGAAATGTTTTCAAGTACAACATAAGTTATAAGTCTGATTCACCAATTCACTGATATTTGCTACCAATACACATTTACCAGACTAATAATGAAAAAGGATCACAGTCACACTTTAACATTTGTATCCATGGAAGCCATTCATATCCATGATGTAGGTAAGTGATGATATTAAGTAAACCTCCAGCATCAAACTCACTGTTAGCAACCTTAGTTTTATAATAACAATCTTTAAATTGTATAGTCTATATAATTCTGTGTATTCAGAATATTCTAAAAGCTGCAGTGAATTTTTATACTTATTGGATAGTTATGTGGTCTAATTGAAGGAAGAAATTATTCAACATAAAAAAGTCCAGGAGTTTCTTCTGTTTAGAGAAATAAAATCTGTCTTTTCATTTTAGGACCAATTTTGCTTATGAATATAGGAGCAAAAAAGTTTATTTTTTTATTTTTTTTTAACATGTATTAATAATTACTATACTTTCAATTTGTTGAGTTTGTTTTGAGGTACAAAAGTTATGAATTGCAATTATAAAATTTCTTGTTCAGTTTTTTGAAGAGCTTGAAAACATTTTTAACACAAACTTAGAGTTTTAAAGATTTACTACTTTCGATAATGATACAAAATACGTTCTCTTTAATTTGTAAGAACAATTTTGTATCTCTCCATTCTCTCTTTCCAGGAAATGACTAATTTATATTTTATTTTGAGATCCATGTAGGGTTTATGATAGTTATATTTGAATGAACACTAAAGAACATTAAGCTTTCTTATTTCTGCAATTATCCTTTTCATCAGTAAAACATCGAGGCAAAGTAATGCATAGTTATCAGTCATTACACATAAAAATTATTTTAGAAAAGTGCAATTACTTGCATGTAATAAATATCATTTCAATTTGCAACTGATAAATTTTTAGTGTTCCTTTTTAGCAATTGATATAAGATATTTTACTGGGTAACCATTTTAAAGATAGTGCATTGTTTGAAAACAAGACAACTGAAATGTATAAAGTCTGATGAAAGTTATGAAAAGATTCGACTTAAAACTAGGAAGTCTTTAAAAAATTAGCACAGGTATGAGATTTTTATGCCCTTGACCATATGGCACATATTCATTGTTATCTGTGTTTCACACATTATGATACAAATTATTTACACAAAACTTAAACAATGATGTCTCCATTTACATGGAATGATTTCCTTAACAATTATTGAGTCAACAACAAATATTTGGTTTTAACTATCTGGTTGTCTTAACAATTGCTTCTAACAATTCAGTGATTGGTTTTTTTAAATCCAAATAAAGCAAATGACGCTTGCATGAGCTCACTTGCGAATTGGTTACCCAATGAATGGGGGCAGATCAGACAATTTGAAGGGCCCAAATGCACTGGGGCCTGTGGGCCTCCCTTGCCTGCTTCGAATACCAGAGGATTGTAACCTAGGGGGAGGAGGGATCAAGTCGATTGGAGGAAGATTTCGGCCCCGTGGTGGTCGTGTCTCCAGAGAAATTGGTGGTAAGTTTGTGGTTGTGAATACAACATCCACAGGTTCAGGATTTCGAATTGACAGAGAGGCACTGTCATCTCCTTGAAGAAGAAAACCACACTGGGCTGTGCAAACATCATCTCTCAATATTGCCTCCCGGTCTGCTTCCCGTAAAAGTTGACCACAGTCAGTTATACGAAGTGATGCACATTGAGTCTGAAAGAAGTTGAGTTTTGTTTAACATTTATAAAATAAAAGTTACAACTTGCATAGTTAATTATTGTATCCTTACTCCTTCTGTAGAGCATATGCAACTTGTGCAAGGAGAGGGAAATGATGATTCTCCTACAGGCACAGATCGTCCTCCAATTTGACATCCTTGTGGAGTTTCTCGCCATGCATTCAGGTCAATATGAGGAATTGAATGGCAGGGAACCCTTGGATTTCTGAAATAAATAATTCAGAGTTTATGAAATGTATGTGTCAAAGAATAAGAAATTGTGAATACTTCATCAAATTTCTACCATATATTTGAATTTCAGGAATTTAAATAAATAATCAAATGTTTATTTTCCATCAAAATTCACTCTTAAGTTTTATTACATTGATAAATTCTTCAATAATACCATTCATAAAAATTTAAATGATTTAAATTACTTACAAGAAATTACTGGGTTGGTCAAAAGCAGATCTCTGCATATCAGATGAGATGTCCATGTTTTCACATAATATTTTTGATAATGTTATTTTGCGAATTTCTGCCAATTGTGCTTCAGTGAACTTTACAACGGGATTTTCATTTTCATACCTAGAATGGTAATTATCAACAAATGAAGTAAATCATTGTCAACAATCATCTGACATTTAATTATTATTTCTTCTTACCAGAAACGATCACATTTCCTTAATTGTCTGAATTGAATGCCAATGATGCAAGCGAATGTTGGACCAACTAATCCTCCTTGCAGTGGACGTTCGCTCATACCTCCAGGAAACAAGTCAATGTCATCAACTGTAGCATAAATTCTTTTGAGGCGAGTAATAACTTCTGCTGGAATTTCCCGTGATAGATCATCGAAACTTGTTGCTCTCTTCAGGTTGCATAGAGCACGGTAATCGTTGTACGGCCTGATTGCATGGTCACGACCTAAATTTAAATTAAAGTAGTTTTATGTTTAAAGGATTTAACTTCTATTTCAATTGTTTAAACACTTGATTGAAGTAATTAAAATTAATTTCATAGAATTCAGCTTTCAGAGCATATCACGTATATTACCTCGTTGTATATTCAGGGCTATGAGATCTACTCCAGAATGAGGGATACGTCTGTCTTCAAACAAATGATTAGTAATTTCTCCAGTCACAAATTGATCCATGTTTTCCATAGGTGTAGACACCAGGCCTCTAGTTATTTCATCTATCATATGAACCTGAAAATTTCAGTGCATGGACAAAATATTAACAATTTGGAAATTTCTCTAGGAAGTGTAGATTTGAGTTCTGATAGAAAGCACCCTCGCTTTTTTCTCTCTCACAAGACATACTTTAATCTTTTTAAATAATCAATCTGCTCATTTTTAATAAAAAAATATTCCTGTTCCGAAATGAAAAAAACAATTTTTTTTACTCATTTACCTGATAAATCATATCTGGGTTGAAGAAACCATCTCTCAGTAGAATTGGGGGATCAAGAACTTCATAATTGGGACCCATTCGAGGTATGTGAGGGCGCAGTAAACTGTGGCCGATACGAAAAGCTGCAGCAGCAAACTCGTTCACTATACTTGGATTGCAAGAAGGGTTGTAGCCTGGAAATTGATGGGATGTAATTAGTATAGAAGGGTGTTCCATTGATAATCATAATGTTTTCTAATGTATCTTAATACATTTGGCTTTTGATTGTTAAAATTGCACCAAATACTATATTTTTCTTCTCAGTTACTTCCATTCTCTTCTTGCTTGTACTTGAAGTAGAGCACAAAAATGTACTCTTACCAAATATAAATCAGGAATTTTAATCATGATGAGACGTGAGGAGACTTGTATTTATCATAAAATTGATGGATTACAAACCTTTGTAATATCCTTGAGGTCTCAATTTGAGCTCATATAAATTAATAGCATTCCAACCCAATATTCTAGGTAGGAATTCATTGTAAGAAATGTGCTGTGCTGCAGCTGTAACAATTCTTCGTGCATTTTGATACAATTTCTCATCATCCCAATGAGGGTTGATTGAATGCAGACCATCAACCACTCTGTTATGTTCTCTCATGAATAATGTGTGAATGGCTGTAAGGGCTGGTTGTTCACTGGCGCGTCCATCACCTGCCAAGGCAAACACAGAAAATACAAACTATTCATGCTAAAGACATATTGAACAAAATACTGTGTTTATTATGTATAATTGATGAGCTCAGCACCCACTAGATAATACATTTTTGACAAAAATAAGACATTCCTACTAATACATTGGCCATATATAGGGTTTTACATTGTGGGTGAATATTGCGGTGCTGATGTCACAAGTTATTCTGTACTAAGGAGGATTTATTCTTTACTCTGTTACAAGGAATTAAAACCTTTATCTTTTTATTTCTCAAAATGAGTGTGATGTGGCATATGATTATCTATAGCCAAGTCCTTGAATTGAAAGAAAAAAAAATTGTGTGGTGAAGAATATGAATGAACTTGGATATTGAATTCACTTTTAATTCTGTTTGAATTATTTACCTGCTATAAAACAAAACCCTGAAGGAGATTTACACTCTGGATGTTCTGTTGATTGAGGTAGAAGATCTTTTCCTTTCACTGGATGTCTAGTGACATTCATTCGCCCTCCAAATCCTCTCAAATCTCTTGCTTGACATAAATGTTCCCCATAGACTTGAGATGTATCTAAAAATGCTGAATTCTGATTGATTTGATCTCTAGCTCCTGAAATTGAAGTAAATTTTTATTTTTTTTTTCTTATTAATTTAGCACATTCCACATATTAAATATATTGAAATTAATATTACCTAGGTGCTGTTGTCCAGGTAGTGATCTCATGAAAGGAAAACACAATCGCTCTCCTGTGGTGTGGTTGATCTGTGGATAATAGTGATCCCCACGAGGTACAGGTATTGGCATGCACTCTGGGTGTACAGTTTGAGGAGAATCACAGGAACGACAATCAGGAATGGACGCAAAGAAACCTATAACAGATATTTATTTTTAAGTAGATGATAACTATTTTAATAGAAGACATTGAAATGTTTAGAAACTGTGTTCACCTTTGTGCACAGGAGTAAATGTTATATCATGATCCAAAAATTGAGCAAACTGCATTAGCATGAGGCTGTACCGATTGTGCAGATTACTTATGTCTGCATGGATTTGTGTTGATACAATTCTAGGTGAAGGCAAAGGAGTTCCCGTGACAGATGTTAATCGGGGATGAGATATACCTTGAAAAAAATGACAATTATTTTACATACTCATCAATTTATACTTATCAATAAATATTTTTTAATGAAACAATATTTTTTTGGCATTTAAGGCAATCAGAGTCAGACAATACCCAGTATTTTCATTAAATTTTTTTTAACTTTAACACAAATAGTAGTTGCTCACATCTTGTCTGTGATTGCCTTAAATACCAATACACACTGATTTGATAGAAAAATGTACATTAGAAAATCATCTGGTGTAGAAATAACCTAAATTAGCTAATAATTAGATATTCTATTCCTGAATGTCTTGAGGAGATCTTAAACTGCATTTTCTTCATTTGATAATACTTTATATTTCAAAAACTTACTATTTTCATATGCAGGGGGTAACAATCTAGCAAAAGTTGTAAGACTCTTCCCGAGGTTTGGACTACGAACATTATTGCAGTATCCTGTGATAGATCTAAAAGGAGTACGAGTGTCACAAGGACCTCTATCATCATTAGCTTCACAATCAGAAGTTGGGCCTACTGGAGGCAGAAAAGAACTGATATCTACATTTTGCAGGCTGTCTGTGAAATCATCTCCCAAAGAGTCAGTTTGAAAGCTTAATATATTGTCACGTGTTTGATCAAACACTTGTCGTCTTCCCCTTCTCAAGCCAACACTGCAATAAAAGAGAATCCAATGTAATATATAAAAACATTTTCATAGAAGAATGGTTGACTGGTAATTGAGTATTTATTAAACTGTTTTTATTTTTAGATACTTGTATTCACACCTTTGGAGAGAGTTCATGAGCTCTTGAGATGCATATTCAAGAAACAGAGAAACATTGGCAATTTTCAAAGCCTGATTATTTGCTTTGCTGAAAGCTGCAGCTGTTCCCACAGGAGATTTTGGATCTGCTCCTCCATCTGAAACAAATACAAAAAATATTATTGATCACTCTCTCATATAGGATGTCCTATGGAAAGAGAATGGTAGCAAACACAGAGGCATGAAAAGCAAATATTGTAATGACATACTTGTTGCACTAAAACAGAAGGGAATTCCTATTGATCTTTATTAATATTTGTCAAAAGCCTTTGACATTATTGACCATCGCATTGTACCTCTAATAGAATTAGAAAAGCTAGAGATCCAAGGCATTGCAGGCCAATGGATGAAATTATATTTATCAAATTGTTGGCAAGTAGGAAACTAGTACAAGTAGGCAATTATATTTTTCCAACTGTTGGCAACTAGTCACCCTCCAGGTCATAAAGAAAAGAGATTTCCTACTTTTACTCCTGCCCTCAGATGATAAATTGTGGAGACCTTCAAGTATCCATCCTGGACGGAGGCAGATCCCGCTAATCATTTGGAGGGGGGGGGGGATTGTAGTATTTTGTTAAATAATAAACGGCCCCCTATGGATCTGACAGTGATCCTGGAGCCAATATTATTACTTATATACATAAATGACATGCCTGTGGCTCTAAGAAATAAAAAAATAAATTTGTTTCTAGATAACACAAATATCATCATCAAAGCAAAATCACATCATTAGTATTAGAAAATGAAACTAACAAAACCATGAATAAGCAATGTTCCCTATAACACTTACTTTTCGCATAAGACTGATATTCTTTCTCCCTCCTTCGAAGCATATCAGATTCTGCTCTTTCTATAGCTTGCATTATTAATTCATCAGTTATATGTGTAGTTGTGGTTTCATCATGCCAGGCTGATAAATCCAGGGTTGGTTGTAAATCACAAGAGATGCGAACATTTCTAGGATTAAAAAAAGTCATTAAATGTATTTTAGAATACCACTTATAATTATGCAAATGAATAATAACAATACTTCAACAATTCACTTACAAATATGTATCTTCTTGAACAAACACTCGTGATTGTGCTCCAGACAGATTGGGCACATTGTCACATATGAGACCTGCCAATGTCACCTTTCGTATTTCTTCTAATTGTTCTGCAAAATACATAAAGCAAATTGTTTTTTGTTACGACAGTGTGTTTTTTAGGAAGAATAAAATTTAGTTTTCATATTTCTCTTGTATTTTGGATAAAGTATCTTTAACTTGATGGAATTTCTTTCCAAATTAATTAACACAGGATGACTAAAATGCTTTATTGAAGACAATAGTAAAATTGTATATTTCTCAATGATGTTTTTATAGCAAGAATTGTACTTACAAGAAAATGTCTTACATCTGGTAAAATTGCATTGAGTTATTCATTTTTTACCAAAGAAAGTTGATATAATGAGCACATTGATGAATACTACAATATAATTCTCCACTACAATACCTAACAAAAGTTTTGTGCAGACAATTTAATTCAGAATTAAATTATGTAAAAATTTTACTCTTTTTTCACATAAACGTTACCTCAAAACTATGTTCCTTTATTCTCTTTTCTCACATTAAATCTTAAATGATTTACACTTACTTCGACTGAATGAAGAAGGTGGCAAATCATTCTCATACCAAAAACGGTCACTATTTCGAATATTTGTGTATTGGTAAGCAAGAAGACAAGTAAATGTTGGGCCAACTAGAGCTCCATGTACTGGGGTTTCCATTATTCCACCAGCCAGTAGGTCAACATTTTCAATTTCCCTGAAAGATATAGATATTATTAAAAATGTTTTTACAGTTCACAATTCAATAAAAAATATGTCCACTAAACTGACCCATAGAGTTCTTGAAGTATATCAATATTGTTTTGTGTCATCAGCGATGATAAGCTTGAAAAAGTAATTTCGGATTTTAAATCAGGATTACATAATTTAAGCCATTTGTCATATGATGGAATTCCATGATCTCTGCTCATTTGTATCAGGAAGGCACCTTTTGTCCATCCTAAAAGAAGTAAATAAAGTTAATTGATTCTGGTAAACCTATTTAAGAATATTTCATTTGCAGTAATAGTAATATTTGCACAAAAGAAGAAAATATGGTTTTCTTAATAATGAAAAAGTTTAGTTTCTGAAATAACATATATCTATCGCTAAAAATTGCCATTTGGTATTTTGTCTACTTCTGTGGACTATAAAATTGATGAAGACCAATTGAAACACTTTTAAAAGTTATGTGTATGATCAATTGGAGCATGTCATTCATTTTTTAAAGACTTTGTTCACAAGGAAACACAAACTAACATTTTTGCAACTGTTTCATAGATAAACAAAGTAAAATAAAATCCACAACAGTGAATTAAAATTTTTTATTTTGTTGAATAGCATTTTTGTTTACTTTATTTTGAAAAAGTAAATTATGATTGAGTAAAATATGATGAAAAAGTAAAAATTGAAAAAATATTACCTGTGTGTGCAGGAATGGGAACATTCAAATTAGCTTCTTCGGCACTTTCAGTCAACATAGCATGTACAAATTGTTGTTCTTTATCTGTTGCATTGAAATGTCCAAATTGCTGGGGAAAAAAAATTCATATTAAAAATGAAATGTAGATTAGTGTATTTTTCCTACTAACACTTCGCTCCTGACACATACCATACTTGCAGGTGTCATGAGAGGAAAGAACTGTAGAGCTGCTGTTGCGACACTGTTCATTATTCCTGCATGATGAGAGCTTGAATAATTGTCATAGTATCCTTGTTCCTTAAGTTTAAGTCCATTATTTTCTGTTGTTAACTGTGAAAAGATGTCAGTACTTGTTAATATCTGGTGAAGGATGTACAGCAGTATATTAAAAATTGACATAAAAATTAAATCACAAATATGTAATAATGAAATATTTTAGTGAAGATCATGGTATTTTTTCTTGGCAGTACAAATTGTATGTTTGTTAACATATTGATTTGATTTATTTTTGTCGTAAAAACAATAACAACAGATGTGATGTATGGTAGTTTTAAATAAGTTAATATCATTTTTAAGACTACAAAAAATATTTAAAATTTATTTGCTTTTGAATTTGGAGAGTACGTTTCAGCTTCTCCAAGCTTCTTTTGGCTGAATTCCCAAGAATAATTTTTGTTTGTTAGGGTACTGCTCCGGCATTCGCCTGGTGTTGATCGGAGAAACCACGGAAAACTACCGTACCGATCGGAGCCTCTAAACAGCGGCCGAATCCTACCTAGCCATCTAACTTGAGTCCAAAATAAGCAACCGTCTGGACCTTCGGGTCAGAGACGCTGGACTGGCAACAATTGTTGTGCTGAGCCATCTCAGCCGGTGCTTCCTCTTGGATCTGCCACAGATTGTAATGTGTGCAGATCGGTAGATACAAATAAGGGTGGCTAGGGCCCGGAGCCGATTGAGGATACCTGTGGTAAGTGTTCCTTTGGGAACAGCCTCTCCCCCTTGATAGATTGAGTCGACTCAGTAGGATGGGAGGTGGAACCCAGCTGCCCTCTCCCTCCCACGGGGCCAGATAAATGAATTAAGGGGCTTTAATCATGAACCATCTTAGCATGGCCCCTCTAACAATATGAAGAAATGAATCATGTATTCAAAATCAATTACAATCTGTGCAATTTAAAAATGAAAAAAGTTAAATGTATGAATAATATAAAATTTGATTTAATTTTAATTTATTATAATATTAATAAATCGCCAAGAACAATAAATATGTCTATGTGATCTGCTTAAATTTCCCTCGGGAGCTCACATTCAGCACGGACCGTCAACACTTGCTAAATCTCATTATGAATTATCCTCACCTCTGCCCTTACAATCCTGCTGCATTTGAAAAATTTTCTTTGCTTTTCTGCGAAGTGGATGTGACAAAATTATGACGGGTCCAAGGCGCCCGTAATCCATGTTGACTTTGAAGAGTATTACTAGTCAGGACTTCAGAATAACGATATCTCTTTGTAATATTTAATGAGTAATACTTAATACGTAATTACATCTTAATAAGTGTAATGACAATTCTTTTGAGTAGGCTTAGTTTTCAAAGTTTGTGGACAGTATTTCTGAAGGAGAACAATTTCTGATTGATTACAAATTATGTTTACAGCCACTGCAGCTCATTTATTTCTATCTATTAAATCACACTAATAAAATCCATTAACTAGGGTTGCATTTAAAAGAGGTAGGTAGTTTAAATTCATAAATTGAAATCGCGTTTCGCTGTACGGAGCTTTCAAAATTCGCGCGTCGTATTGCCAACAGCACGGCTAATCTATCAGAACTATAAAGCAAAAAAATACTTGTTTGATTGTAAAATACTCCTTCATTTGACAGGAATATACAATAAATATCATCGACAAAAATTAGAAAGGAGACAAGAATTTAGTTGCCTTTGTTGTTCTGTCAGCTACTGCGTCGAACTGTTGGTACATCCGTAAATACATCGCAAGAGTTTTTTTGTGGCTAAATTGTTTTTTTTTTAAGTATGCAAAACAATTTATTTGCGGACTATTTATATCATTATTACACATTTTCAGACCCACCCAAACTTATTGCTTTGTACTATTATGCGTTCAATTTGCCAAATGTTAAATATCGTACCAGTGTTCCGAAACGAAACACCCATGTAGGTCTCATCCGCGCGTGGTGAAAATTAACACGTGCATAGGACGATTAATACTATGGTTAATGTAGATGATTGCTGCTTTACGATGTGAAGTGTACTCAGCAATTCCCGCAGGATTTGTTTTTTTTAACCACGCTGCCCACGAATCCAAAATTCGAGTGGAAAATCTTAGTTCGGGAATGCAATTTGTGACCACTCGTTTCGAGGCTGAATATGCGGGCGAGCGAGGTAGCCGGGTGGATGAACAGGAATGGAATTAATCAGGCAAGGTAAGTTGTAAATATGTCTAATGAGTAGAGCAATGCTTTATTCACACCATTTAGACTCGTAAGTTTGCGGTAAAATCTTTTTTTAATATTGGAAATATGTTTAATTTGGGTAAAATATTTGATGATTAAAAATAATCGTTCGGGGATGCAAATGAACGTAAATGATTGTAGATTTATTTGATAATAGTAAATGATAATAGTTTTATTATTTGGGGTGCGTTTGAGATAACTTATCAAATTATCAGAGAAAACCCTTGAGTAAATAGCAAAAGGTTGTGTTAAATTTTCTTTTACAATAACCTCTAACTTTATTTGAATTGAATTTATAAAAAATGTCAACTTATTACCATAGGTCTAAGTATGTGTGTTGTGAATACATTGTCTGTGTATAATTTTGTGTAGGAAACTGAATGAAATTGATTGCAGGATCTAGCTTACCTCTCCGAGAACTGTTGGTAGGAACTCATGATAAGTTATGTGTTGTATTTGAGCCACCACTACTTTTCTTGCCTCTTGAAATAAAGATTCATCATTCCAGTGCTTGTTAATTGTAGCAAGTGCAGCAGCAATTCGATTATGTTCGAGTAGAAGCACAGAGTATAATAAACTTAGCCCTGAAGATTCCTGGCATCTGAGAATTAGGATTTCTCAATATAAATAACTTGGATCATACTTCTCAAAATCAGTGCTTTTACTTATTAACAAGTATAAGAAAAAATATAATTGATAAACATGAAAAATGTTGATTTCTAGGTACCTTTTACAATTGTCAAGAATCACCTTTCCTCCTTCAAATGTTCGAAGAGTTTGAATATCATTGTCAGTTCCTCCATATAAATCTGAACCATCCAGATATGCAGTAGCCAAATTCATTTGCTCTCGCTGGGCTGCAAAGAACAGAGTACACATTCAGTTTTGTACCAAAAATAATAATTGAAATTACATTTACTGAATGAGAATATTTACCAAAATTACATCCTTCAGGAATGGATGGAACAGAACGCATATATTGTTGACATGATTCTCCACTAGTTATGTTACTGCATTCTGGGTGATAATCTTGACAGCAAGTTACTGAATCTATTAGAAAATATAATTAAAGAAGCAATAGAAGGTTAGAGCTGATATTATTTGCAATTACACAAACAAAACATTATAAATAAAGTATGTAATTTAATATTGCAGTATTGCTTAATATTAATTAAATCAACATATCAACATACCTGGATTAACTGTACTGACAAGGTCATGCAAAAGCATATCTCCCCAAATTCCAATTAAACTTGTGACATGCATAGCAGATTGACTGTGAGATTTCTTTTGAAGAGCTGATGCAACATATTGTGGATCTGGCAGTGATAGTCTTGGTTTGCTCAAACCTATAAACAAAAAATTCAAAACCAAAATGTAAATATGAACATTATGTGAATTTATCTCATATTTATTTTTCTTAATATTTTGATAATTCCCTCTACTTTCAAAAACAAAACTTTTAATACATCTTATTTAGGCAGGTGGAGATAAATTATTATTATTATTATTATTATTATTATTATTATTATTATTATTATTATTATTATTATTAACATTGTTAATATTAACATTATTTTATTTGTTGATAGTACAAAAATAACTACATCACTACAATCACTTCAAAATCAAGTGTCCAGATCTGTTAAGTTTAATCTTACATGTAAATAACAATTCCATAAATTCTTGACATTTTAAAAACACATTAATTGTGGGAATTTTTAAGTAAATTCATTGACTTTCTTTTTCTATTCTGAAGATAGAGGCTCAAAAAGTAGCTATCCTTTCCTGTAGATCTTGTCCACTAGAATTTTGTTGAATGTAAATTATTTTGAAATAAATCATTAAATTCATATATCAGCGTTGAAATATTGGCAGTCTGAATTCTTACTTTCGTCGTAAAACAATATTTCATTCTCTCCCCGACAATTATTAATCATTTTACATTTCTTTCAGAATGATTCAATCTTGAACTCCTTTCATCTCGCCTAGGCATGGGATCAGGTAATGCGAAAAGAGACATAATGATACATTTTGTCTACTTCATGTATATGTTTCGGCTTAAGTTCGAAATGTGGCTAATTAGAAAATCTGCCGGTTCAGTCGCCCATCAACCAGACTGGTTTTATAAAGCTGTTTGGATTATGATACGCGAATCGTGTCGGTCATCATCCGGCTAATGTTGGCTTTAAGCTACAAGAAGCTGGCTGTAATAGGGCAGGTCCAAGTGTGAGGCATCTTTAGTGATCGCGATAGATATTTTGGCATGAAAATACCTTTCGCATCCTCAATATTGTTCTTCGTAAATCGTCAAGGTCTGTCTGTCCCAACTAGGAAACGCGTAGCGAAGTGTCAACTGAGGAATGTCGTGAGCTTTGTTGGCATCGTGCCAATAGAAATTACTGACATAGTGGAAATGAAAACTACACACCTTGTTTCACACTAGCTTTGAAGTATGATTTGAAGCTGTTTCTACTTGGGCTTTATCCACCCATTTTCGATTATGTGTATATTAACCGGCTAATTCGCTAATTAACCAGATTCGCTCATTAGCCGTAATAAGCCATACAACGAAGAACTGATTTTAGAAATAGGCAGGGTCATCTAGACCCAGTAATTTAGAGATGACCGCACTCTATTATCCAAGGATTGGAAACTGTCATTTATATCATAGATTTGAAATCATTCATAACATTAATTCTTGTAATTCCTCTGAAATTTAGAAGTCTAAATCGTCGCCCTTCTTGTAAAATAGCTATTGATTATCCCCCAAATATTATAAGGTGACCAGATCTTAAAAAACAGAAAAGGGGACATTGTGACATTTCCTTGACTAAAAAAACGGGACAAAATGGGACATATGCTGCATAAAAAACATATTCATTTGTTTCGATTGCTACAAAAAAATTAACTCATTTGTTTCATTTGCACTTCTATTCATTATAAAGTTGGTCCGTATTCCTCAATTAAGATTGCTTGCTATGTCGTACGAAAACTCACCGAAGCAGAAGGTTGATTTTCTTGGTAACGATATCGGTAAAGCATACACAAGATCAAATGACGCGATATCTCATTTTTATTTTCTCGAACCACCACTGAATCTCTCCCTTCTTGATTTCAATAGCCTATGGAACACTCTTGTTAAATGGGACATGAACGTATGATCTATTGTGCTTCTTTTTTTATACACTAAAGCTAACTCAAGAATATATTATGATAAATTGAACATTGTTGACGGCACTTTTTGCCGAATAGTCATTGTCACAAAAACAGGACATTTTGGATAATGGATAATTGAGTGCGTACAAAAGTGCATAAAATGTAATTAAAGTTCCTTGTCACTGTTTTAGTTCTTTTCTTGCATCTTTGAATATGATATCGTTCACACTGTGTACCACACAGGGAGCACACGCAGTCTTCTTTCACTTCGTGGTGATGTGAAGTTGCGCAGATTTTGTGATGAAACCCGCGAGTCGCCGGCCTTGTGATCACGTGTCTTAATTCCTGGTTTGTTTCTGTCCATTTTCTTTTCATCATGACATCTGTTGAGTAAAGTTCTGGGAATATTTCTCTTCTTTTTTCTTTCTTCTAGCTCTTGTATACTTTGTCTGGTCTTAGTAGTAATTGGTATCTTGAGTCCTCAATGTAGAATAGTTCTGTGGTCAGTTCATATACTAATCATGATTTTGTGTTCTTTGGAAGGCACAGGACTCTCTTTAGGTATCTTGCCTTAGTTCTCTCAATGGGCCTTAGAACAGCTATTGATAGTTTTCCCCATATTACTTGTATTCCGCCTGTTAAGATTGGGATAATGACTGTATGAAATATTTTTATTGTTGATTGTAGTGAAGTTTGTGGATATTTATTGAGAACATGGCTTTAATCGCCGTTGCTGCTTATTCTCTCATATGGATTTTGAATGAGCTGCCTGTTGCCTGAAGTGTTATTCCTAAATATCAGTAATATTAAGCTATTTCGAGATATTTGTTTTTGAATTTTATTTTCTCACTTGCTTCTATTTTTCCTCCCTTTCGAAAGATCATCTGCACTGTCTTGATTTTATTGATTTGGAGGTAGTTTTCTTCTGCCCGTGCTTCTAAATTGGCTTGTTGGAGGCTTGTCAGGCTGGTCGAATCAAGCACTTCATCATTTGCATATATGTATATATATAAGATATTTTTGGCGTGCCGTTTTCATTAAAAAAAAATGCGGGACAGGGACTCAAAAAAAGGGACTGTCCCGGCTAATACGGGACGTCTGGTCACCCTACCCAAATAGTTGAACGCATTTTGCGTTTCTTCGCGCTCCGTCCCATCTCGAGCCCAACTTTCATCTCGCGTAGGCAGGATTAGATAACGCGAAAAGAGGCATAATGGAGGCGAGCGGAGCAGGAAGCGACGCCGCGCCCGCCAGGGAGAGGAGGCGCAGGGGAGGGGGCGGGGGGTGGGGGTGGAGCTCCTGGTCGAGGGCTTATCGTGATCCAAGTGGACGCAGCCGTTTATCCAGGAGGAGGGCGGGGTGCGGGAGAGGCATAAACACATTCGCTCATGAGTTATGTATGGTGGCAAATTCTCGGATAATGCGTCCCAGACTACTACTGGTACTCGTAGAGGCAAGGCGGCAGTAGCGGCGGCCGCGGCCGGGGAAAGTAACACGACTTCCTCGAACTGCCTGCAGCTTCGCGGACTAAACTGGAGTGTTCAGAGAGAGAGAGAGAAAGTTCTAGAACATTTATCGCTCACACCTGGCTTACATGCACGCCTCAAAATATTATCTTTTTTCGTTGATTTGTTTTGGGGCCCGGCTGAAAATTCCTGGCTATTTTGTTGTTCGGTTGCAGGGAGCGGGGAAAGTAGGACAAGTGAGGGGGCTTGTTAACGAACAGCTATACTCTGATTTAAATGTAAGGCGAATTAAGAGCGATCAGGTAGGACACGATTATCCAATTGGGAGATTCTTTACAACTTTAATGTTTGATATTAAAGCTCCTGATTAGATAACCGCGTTCCAGCGGATCAAAAGTCAATTCGCCCTATATTTAAATCAGGGTGTAACAAACATCGGACAAAAACCATTTTCATGAAAGATTTTTATGTTCGAATACCAAAGACAAGAAAAACAAGAGACACAGAAAAAAAAATCACTACTACTTATCCTACTATATAATTTGTGAATGATTTGTAGAGCAACATTGTCACTTGTAAACAAGCAAATAATATCATCCCATAAATCTCTCCTGAAAGAGAAAAGCAATTGACATTCAAAAAAATTATTTAATGTTCAACGCATGAAAAACAAAACTAGTGATGCTATTGAATGGCGGAGACGTTCTTCCACTAGTTAATTTTCTAATATCTTATTCTAGGCTTCTTTTCGTATTGTCCCACCCTCTTCCCAGCGGCCATAAATTGCCACCTAAAGGTGATTGTTACACATTTTCTCACGTTTTTGCTCTACTAATAGTAGAAATGGAACACGTCTTTAAGAATATAACAGAAGAATGTATGTAAACATTTTCATTGAAAAATCTTAAATTTATTTTTAAGAAAATGTCGTTTGATTGTTTCTGAAAATGCGCAGTTTTGAGCTCATATTTACAAAAAGTTTTAAGTTTTCGAGAAACATAATAAGATATCATTTGACACACTTGTGCACAAATACACGAACGCACACAAATGCAATTATGTATTAGAAAATGACCGTTGTATGAGGACATTAGAGATTTTTCAAACAAAATAGTGTTGTGTATGTTTTGAATAAACAAAAGAATACATCAAAATGGCATATGTGCCGTACAATTCAGTGTAGTTAGCAATTCCCGTACAAAAACAATACAGAATAAA